GGAAGGCTGATTTGAAACGCCGAAAAGATGAATGTCCAGATCCCGAAATCGCACGGATTCGAAACTTAAGTCTCGACCCGTGACACAAGAATGTTGGTCCAAACCCATGCATTAATGGCTCACACAAATCCTGGTTCAGTAAATTGCTGCACTCTTCCAAAATAAACATGGCAGTTTTCTTTTTCTTGGGAGTGCCATGTAATTTGACCCTCCTTTGATGTCCTTATTCATGGTTAATCATTAGTTCATTATTTAATTCTCATTCTCCAAGGAAAAGACACAACCATATTTTTGAAACTTGAAGCCCCAACGTCGATTTGCCAAACTTTTCCACTATAATCTTTAGGTCATGGTTCAAACACAAAAGAAAATTTAAGGTAAAAACCATGCAGGTTGATTTGTCTGTCATTTATCTTTTACATGAACAAACGTTGCCTTAAAAATGTAAGTGAATGCAGACATTCTGGGGCTCCTAAATCCGCATTGTAGTGAGCCCGTAACCACGCATGCTGTACGCCGCATAGTTCGCAGGCTGCCTTGGCAGGGACTGACTATCAGTTCGGATATTCCTTTAGAAACATCCATTAATATTTCTCTAGTCTTTGGTTAAGAGAGGACATAGATACAGCCAATGTCTCTGGTATTTTTTAATGTGTGTGAAAGTTCATTAATTCTTGCCTTTATGCCAGCTTATTCTGACTTTTACTTAAGTAGCTTAATAAGTCGGCTTGATAACTACGACAAACTAAACTTTGATATAAGTGGTTAGAAATTGTAATGGAAATGCTTTGCTCTGCCCGCCCCAAACTGGCAGCAATTTTCTACCTGATGCAGTAGCTCTTGTTGGAAAACTAATTATAAAGTCATGACAATTTAGGTTTCTTCTTTTAGAGAAGTAAATTTTGAGATGTTTCAACAATGACTGCTTTTTTCAGTACATTTCATTGACATTCAACGAACTATTCTTTGTCTTCAATTTGGAACTTGAACTTTCTTTTGACTTCTTTCTGTATTTCACTTTGATCATGTCAAAAGAGCACACTTCCAAGTAAGCAAAATCTTAATTTGGAAATCATAAAGTACAAATGAATTAAGATCCTCATCCTTCCATCTAATATGATTTTATGAGTATGCAAACCAGTGTCCTGCTCTTGTTTCTACAGTTCTTCTAGAATGAAGCAAGACCAGAGGAGATATCCCAAATCCAATCTATTGAATATTTGCTGCCAACTGATCATTCTTTACAAAATTTCAAACAAAAATAATTTGCATTTACATTCATTGGCTTCATCCTATACAAATATTTCATATCAATGTAGGGGAAAAACCATAAAGACTTTGAAGGCAAGACTGCCTTTCAAGAACATAGTTTTGGCAAGAATCTAGCATTATTACCAAGACTGGATAATCTTGTTCTTGGTATGTTTCCTATCTGAGTCTGCATTTTCCCACAGAACTTATCCAGTTCTGTTACTCTGCATTGCATTCCTTGCAGCTGTACATCAAGTTGCTCGGCTTTCCTGGGAAGGTTGATTCTTTTGGCATACAGAAGGATTTGATCGGAATTTTCTTTCTCATTGATACTTTCCTCAGCAGAGATGGAACCACTGAAGGTGTCAAGATGTTTTTTGTCCTCAAGTAAAATTTCAAGCTTGGACTGCTGATTAATGAAAGCTTGTATTGCTATTCTTGATGGAAATTTGGAGTTCCGAGCCAAGTGTCTCAGTGCATCTGTTGAAAGCTTTGCATAGTTAAGTGCACTACAGATTCTCATTTTTTCTGCTTCACATAGTCCACCATGAACCTGCTTAGAAAAAATTCGAGTTTTTGGATTAGCACAGATCCTAATAACTAATAAGTGATTTCATTCTAGTACGAATAATCAAATTAGAATTAGCATGTAGACAACTGGCGATAATATTAGTTTTACCCCTTTCATTTGTATATTCAATGAATCTATCTAAATTGTAGAAACCTGAAGTGATTGAGCCCTAGCAACAGGCCTGCTACTTGCTACTGCCATTACATCACATAAGGAGTACACTCTACCAGCATCATATTTCAATTCTAAGAACCATAGAGAATCAGGTTCATTCTAAAATTTGTGCAAAGCAATTAATTGCATTTATAACAAGGGTAGCTATTCATAAGTAGATGGAAATACCTCTAGATAAATGTCTATGGCTTGAAAAAGCCTATCATGGGATTCTCTGGCAGTATCTGGGAGCAGCATGACTAATGCTGCAAACTTTGAAGGGTTCAGATGGGAATCCGCTGCCACTTCCAAAAGGTACAAGTCAAGTAAGCTAACAACTTTTCTTAATCGCAATGGGGATAAGCAACAAATTCCTTCATTGCAAAATGCTTTTACCAGTCTAAGTACCAGATTCACATCATACATATAATCTTTCCTGTGTGGGGATGGAACAAGCAGAAAATCTATAGTTGCTTGATCCAGTTGTGAACCAATAAGATTTTCCAAAAGGGATTTGCAATATTTGCTAATTTTCAACCTCGAAGCCACTCGAAACATATCAAATAAGAGCTTGCAAGAAAGGGAGCTCCTATCAAGTAAAGAAACCAGATTGACTATGACCTCTGTGATTTTGCACTTCTCAATAGGGGTGGCGCTAAGAAATCTTGATCTTTGATAACAGAAGAGGAACTTATTAATCGTAGCATGATCGAAATGCTGGCATATCATCATTTTTATTACCTTGTCAATCAAATCAATATTCAAAAACAGAAGATCCTCAAACCACCAAGATATTTGAGAGAAATTGTTTCTGATACTATAGCTGCTCCTTGTATCACAGGAACACAGGAAACTGGAGTTCTCTGAGGAAGATGTGTATGGGCTTGCAGCAATAGGAGAGGCAAGCCTTCCAATAACACAATCCAGAACCTTATCAAGTATTAGCGAAGAATTTGAGGTAGAAAGCAAATCTTGGCACTCTTTCAAAGCTATAAGTAGCTCAGACCAGGACCAGAAGCTGATACCATCTAGAGACTTTTTTGTTTGGTTTAACAAGCTAGGCCTGGGGCCATCACTCTCCAACTCCATAAATTGTGCAGCACAATTTAGTAGGACTATATTGGCGGGAGTTATCTCAGTTCTTCCCTTGTTATAGCAAAACCTTGCCACAAGCTCAAAACCCTCAGCTCCCCCCGGAAAGTCATGAAATACCACTTTCAGATTCCTGGTATCATCCATCAAATTACCAAACAATTTGCTGAATCTACCAGAGAAAGATGCAAGGGCTCTCTGCATTAAAAAAATAAATTGTAGAGGAATTATAGAACATACTAGGATTAATGAAAAGAAGGAATATTTTATGACATTTAATTCATTTTACACTAAAAAGCCTAGCGTTTACCGACTCAACAAAAAGCTATAAGTGAATCAAATAGTATTAATTAAACCTATACACACACAAAAAAAAAAAAAAAAAAAAAAAAACTGAAATAATCTTGCATTCTTAGGAAATTGTGGTAGGAAGTTGTTGTCAACAATAAATTTAAGAGTGGTCCTGTTTGTTCTGTAATCTAGTGGAGAGGGCCAAGATCCTTGGTGAAAGGAATAGATTACAAAAACCGGAAGAATCAGAAAAGACACATTAAAGAGAGTACACATCGTAGCAACACATTGACTACAACTGAACGCAAAAGATCATAAAGACTGAAACAGGATTGAGTTAAGCATCCCAACTGAAGTGAAAACGGCATGGGGTTTCAAGGTTCAGCCCTACAAAAACAGAAAAAAAAAAAAAAAAGTTTGCCAAATGATATTTATAACTTGCTCTACCTAGAAAAAAACGAAGTGAGGTGAACAAACTAGAGTAGTAACTATCATTAAAACCCCATAAGCACGATAAAGGATTTAATGGTAAATAGAAAACTATTACCTTGTCTACCATGAAAACCTCTTAGCCATTGACATCCACTTGAAGATCACAGCAGACTTGCCAAAAAAGAAGAATATAAGGACATAAGCATTGAAGAGTGAAGCAAAGAGAGAAGGGAAAAAGAAACACAGTAGAAAAGTTGCTTGTAAGAAGAAGCTGGTGTGGTGTTGGTTGGTCAATGGACAATTGAGCATAAGAGACAAGGTTTGTTAGTAGAGATTAGATAAAGGAGGGGAGGGAATCAGAAGCTACGAGGCATTTTTAAAACAATGGAAGTTTTACAGTTGCAATTGCAGTGGGGCACCTACACTCTTTCCTTTCATTACCAAATACACGCCTTTTTCCTTTTTTTTTTTCCGAATTCACGTCCTTATAAAACGGTATCAAATCCGACAACGATGATTAAAAAAATGCATGTTTTAATCTTGCGATGTCTTAAATTTAAATTTTAACGTTTTTTAGTCTCAATCATATCATTATCATTAGTATATGATAAAAAAATTATAAAAAATTTTCATTGGTACTAAAATTTTTAACCTGTACATATGATGACACATATCTTAATTTTTATAAATTATAAATTTTTTATTTTTTAAATATACATTAAAAGATATATCGACATCTTAATTCTGTTTGTAAAATTAAAAAATTTTATTATCAATATATTTATCAATTTCTCAAAAAAAAATTATATATATATATATTAAAATATGTATATATGAAATGCCATTAGTTGTACTACTAAAAATCAGTTATAACTTTTAAGTAGAAATCATCAATTAATTTAATCAATATAAAGTTTATTTGACAGAACGAAAAAATTTTTCATTAGATCACAGTTACATTTTATAAATTCAATTTTTAAAGATTCAATTAGAAAACAAAATCATGTGATGAAAATTTTTTTTACCATGCGAAATGAACAATTAAATAATTACAATGAAAATTGGAGATGAAATTTGGTTTTCCACAAGAAAAAGGAAATCGAAACCGTGAAAGAGAAAGGAAGGACTTCATCCTACATTGTCAAACTAAGATAAGAAATACTTGCAAAAGTCATACTAGAAAATTGAAATGAGAACGATATATTTTCTATGATGCACGCTTTTCGAGGCCCATATATATACTTTTTGTTTCTCTTTTACATCCGATAATTCATATTGACCAAACAAAGGATGGACTTCAGCCTTTTCCGTTACTCGTGGCGACAGTTTCCATTGAGCCCGAGAGAGTAAAGAGGTTTTTAGTGGAGGCTGACTCTGGATTCCACTTATAAGGATATAGAGATTCGAGAAGCTGACCAAGTCTCAGATTTTTGTTTGTTGAGGCATAAAATCAAAGAAATTACTTTCCTTTTTTTTTAAATAAAAAGAAAAGCAAAAATGATATAACAGGAGCTCAAGAAGAGAAACAACTAGGCTAAATGGGCCCAACAGCTAAGAGTCCAAATGAACATTGGATAATATATATGACTCACCTATTTCAATGGATATAAGGCTTAGCTCATCTTAACTTTTCTCCAAACCTAATTGGATCAAACAAACACAAACAGGGAAAAGAGAAACCGTTAAAAGGAGAAAAATGGACAAGGAAACAAAAAAGCCCAAACTTAAGCTGGGCCGAAAGTCACAACAGTAGGCTCCAGTTGGCCCAAAATTGATTTAAGTATGCTCAATTTTGCCCGATCACAAAGAGTCCAAGGCTAAAGTCCAAAACGTGGGCTCAAAAGAGTAAAGAGTAAGCTGAATAGGCCCAAATAAGATGCAGTGTCCCTCAAGAGAAATAATTAACTCAAATTAGCCCAAAACGTGGGTCCAAGAGTAGCACTTAGGCCTCAAAGCATGGGCCCAAATCAAAAGATGAACACGCAGGCTAGAGGCCTAATATTAAACTCGACTTTTCCACTAGAATACTAGAAACTTTTAAAAGAATGCTTCTCCACGAGTCAATTAATCGATATTCTTCGGAAGTGCTTACGCAAACAGTAAGCTATTTCAGCTTGGTTTGGCAACGAAGTGTCTAAGAATAACATGGCAATTGATTCGGTATGCCAATTGTTCTGAAAAAATTCTTTTAAATGAAAATAAAAAAGTTCAGATGCATGGACTCATGAGCTCATAAGTTGCGACGGTACTCTTGACTCATTAGTCATACTGCACAATTATAACAACTGACTGCCAAAAGCCCATTACCAGTAACACGATCCGGTCACTGTGAAGAAGGCAACAAACCTCTCAGAATTTAGTAGCCATTTGTCTGAGGCCTTGGAGTTGGACCCATCAGCCGGGAAAATGGTATTTGGGTCCGACCAGTAAGTCCCTTTTGCCCAGCAACTCGATCATCTGTTTTCTGATCCGAGAATGATTTCGAAAAAGCTTGGGCAAGCTCCACTGCTGATGCTGCTTTTCCATACCGCAACCCAGCAGGCTTACGCCAGGTCTCAGGTGAAGGCTGTCTCTGCTGCTGCTGCTGCCTTTCAGTTTCCCTGCCATTCCGCCAATTTTCATTACGCCAATTCCTCCTTTGCATATCAACTCCTTCGCTGTCAACACGATTATTCCTCTCAGATTTTCTTCCAGCTCTCTGATCAACAGGAGGATTCTCAACTCTTTCACCATGGCGAGGAGCTGCTAGCTCAGCAACTTTTTCACTCCTTAAAAGATTATGTTTGACCCTTCACATAACAATACAGATTAATAATGACATGGTACTGTTTAAGTTTTTAGCGAATTGGTGAAAAAACCCAACAAGAAAAAGGGGCAAAATGCCCTCGTATGGTATGAAATACAAAAATCGCTACCTATCAGGATGATGGCCTGGCTCATGGTTGCTATCATCAATCCCTCTCTCCTTCAGAACCTGAGAAGCAGAACAGCAATCCTATCCGCTGTTACTATAAAATCACAAAAAAAATAAATAAATAAATAAAGACCACAATAACAAGTGTAAAGCTAAAATAATGAATTAAGTTATGTTGGCATCAACGAGAGTGATGAATCAACAAAATCATGAAACAATTCATTAAGCAAGCAAGAGAGATTCACTCACCAGTTCTCGTGGGCGAGCACCACCAAACAACGCATTTCTGCAACAATAACATCTAGCTAAATAGTTACTCATACACCTAAAGCAGGGAGCATATCACCTACAATTCTTTTTTACTACAATGCTACAATTATCCAATCAAAATAAAGATTTATATAGGGGTCCAACTTATAAATGTTGAATCTATATAAAATTTTGATGGAACCAACATAATTCAAAACTGTGATTGGTTAATTGTACTACAATCATTGTACGTGATATAATCCCCCTAAAGTGATGACTGTCCAGAAAATAAACTAAAAAAAAAAGCACCCTTATTCATTCAATATTACCGTAGAACTTGATAGGACATGCAAATAAAATATAGCACCATTATATGTAGCCTCTCATTGTAGACAGGTAAGATGCACAAGATCTAACCTATTATTCAAGTTAAGTAATGATAGATCAGTTTTGCATGGCGACCTGACAAATAGGTGACAAACAAATTAAAACTGTTGTAAAATTGCATTATCACGTTCTATACTGTAAATCATAGATGTCACTCTTTCACCTTTTCATTGTGCTTTAGTTGCTTCATAAGAAGGTTAAATGTGACTCAACAATTCATAGTAATTTAATGCCTAAAATCATGATTTAACGGCTAAGCTCAAAGTTCCCTATTTGGTCCTATGAGACTATTACATTCAAAGTTTACAAATCACCATAAATTTTCTTTTGAGAAATTAAAGAATTTTATGTTGCTCTTATCTCAAAAGTTACTCCTTTCAAAAATAATTATATATCAATTAAAGTCTAAATAATTCCACAAAACGTTCCTAATTTGACCTTCAAACTCATAAATTTATTTATTTATGTTTTCCAAATGTGTAAGGAAATAAAGACAACACTAGCATTCATAATGGACAAGGGATAAGAAATGCTAACAGAAATGGCCAAGTTAACAAAAATAAAAAAAGCTCACAAACACAAGAAAAGGAGGAAAACCAAACACAACACAACAGGACAAACAACTGATAGCTAGAGAACTTAGCTGCAATCAAAGATGCTCAGAGATATTCCATAACCAAATTTCTTAACATCAAATTTCTAATGCATTACTTTTGTCAGTCACATACCTCAACAATTCTGTCCCTCATCCTTAATGATTTACTCTTACCAAAGATGATAATACAAAGCAAACTTAATACATTCAAATTTAAAAACTGTCTCATGAGTTCATAATAAGAGGAATACGCATATATAAAGCACTCATACAGAGTAACATTAATTTAAAGTCTAGACGTATACTGACCCCTTCTCAATGTTTCCTTCCAATTGTTCAATGGGCTGCGAACGTGGCTTTAGATTCAGTTTTGGACGCTCCACTGTCTGGTTCGCACTCTCGCTGCCAGCTGAACCAGGTTTTGAAGTATTCACATGCTCATGTAAATCATTACCAATTTCAGTATGACTAAGATCAGATTCACTTAGCCGCTGGTGTCCCTATTTCAAGAAAATTATCATAATTAGGGGAGAACTAAATGAATGCAAACTTTTTCTTTATAGCAGGTTACATCCCTGCTTTCTTGGATAAATAAAAATCTGCCATCTATCCAAAAAAGGAAAAAAATAATATAAACTTCAATGATATAGCATCACATGAGTACCTGCTTAGAATCAATATCGGGTGATTCTAGACTACCCAATGGCTTAGTCCGAGGAAGTAAATTAAACTTGGGCCGCTCAGATGCTTCTGACAGCACGGATGGAGGCAACTGCAATTCAGAACCACCAAATTTGCCATCTGAACGAGTTGAATGAATTCCTTCACCATATATTACTGATTTCCTTTCTTTAGCTTCCAAACAATTAGGACCACGGTTCCTCTCATAGTTGTAAAACTCCTTTCGACCACCCTGAATTCCATCTTCAATATTCAAACCCTTTTCCACATGCCTTGCCAATATCACATCAGAATATTCCCTCACACCCACAACATTCATTCTGCTGTACGTCTTTTCATCATAACCCTGGGAGTGCAAACCATTTTCTGTTTCTGAATGTTTACTAATATCAATATCTTTCTGATATTGAAGGGACTGCTTTGACTGCCATCTACCTGATGAAACCTTTTCAAGTGCGCTAGCATGAGCCAACTTCGAGACAGCAATTTGTTCAGACCATACAGATTGTACAGGCTCAGCAACACTCACCGAAACCTCCTTCCGAGCTGCCCACGCATTAGGGTACGACCCAGAAGTAGCCTGCCCATGATTCCCCCCTGAACTATGAGAAATCACACCAATACAAGCAGCCTCAGACACTCTACTAGAGTATGAATTCCCAGCTCCACCCGACAATGGAGATACCGGAGCTGACCCATGTCGACCCGAAACCCTCCCTGCATAAGCAGACTCTGGTTTCAGCTCCACACGACTAGCTGGAACCCGAAAACTCTCATCACTAATAGTTCTACGCGGGACGGAAACCCCGTCTAACGGCTTTCTTTCATCCTCATCAAAATTACGACCAATATGCACTGAATTGGTAAGAAATGGAGTTTTATCATCAAAATGCCTAGTTGCGGGAGACGAATTGGGCCGGGCACGGTGATCAGGCCGGCCTTTCGGGTTTCCCCACGACGTTGCTCTATCATAACCTGAACGATCGGTAGGCCTAATAATCCTGTACCCATCAAATTCAATAAAAACAAAAAATTACATTAAATTAAAAATTAACAACTAGGGATTTCACTTGCAGATCCAGTGGCTTTCAGATCTAATACAAAAAAACCCAAATTTAAAATTTTGTATTATACACAGAAAGTACAAATCAAAAAATAAAAGAAAAAGAGAGATTGGATCAAATTAAACGAAAATTGAAATTTGGGTACTTACACGCCAGGGGCAGAAGGGAGAGGGAGATCGGTTGGGATTAAACCGCCATGAAAATCTTTTAATGTCATAGTGTTGCCACTGAAAGCTTTCTTCTTTGACATTTTCCCTTTGTTCCTTTGTCCCTCCGAAAACAATAATCTCTTACTCTCTCTCTCTCTCTCTCTTCGCTCTCTCTCTCTCTCTCTATATATATATATAAATATATATGAATTAATGAACGTGTAAAATCAAATAGAAAAATATATATATTAAAAAAGAGGAACCCCCGATATATGGAAGCTGGAATGAAAAAGAAGAAAATATAATAATAGGAAAAAAAAAAAGGAAGGATGGACAAGTTCTGAAGGGAGAAGGGGGGGGGGGGGGGGGGGGGTTTGCCTCTTACTCACAGGCCCTCTGTTTTCTCTACTATACAAACAAAGGTTAATGTCGCTCTCAGGTCTCTCTGTCTCGGTTCTGTTCTTTGGGTGTACGGTTCTTCTTATTTTGCTTTTCTTTTTCCTTATTTCAGTTTCGTGGATCGGTCTTTCATTTGCCATTGAATCCGGGCTTGAGTTTCAGGTTTAAAAACAAAACCAGGGCTTGAAAAAGTCCTTACTCAACAATTTTACAATTCAAATAAGCTGGGCTTTGGACTATAAGAAAGGAATCTTGGGCTGGAGAAAGCCCTAAAACAATTTGGGCCAAGGCTTTTCTCACTTGGAGTCTTGGACCCCCATTATTTTAAACAATTTCAGTTGGTCAAACTTTTTTTTTTTACTGTTTGAAGAAATTTATTATTATATTATTATTTAATGTATATCCATTATTATACCCTAAACGGATGAACAGCAAAGACATGAATGGGATTGCAACTGATAGAAGAAGAAAAACTGAAACTGAAAACCCTTATAATGCATCTTTTCGAGTTTCCACAACCAACAGCCACTTTTCAAATAACATCTTTTAAACAACCAACAAAAACTATTATTACTAATATTTTTTAGAAGGGTAGAACATAATTTGAGATAGTAAAAAGATTATAAATATTAATATTTAAATTTTAAATTTATTAAATATTATTTTTTTAAAATAATTATAGAGACCAATTAAATTAAGTCTCAGTTCGACTATTAATGGTAATTGCTATCAAGACGGTTGCCCTCGTACTCGTGAGCTTAACAAGAGAATAATTGGTCGATTGCTTTAAAGGAGGCGAGAACTTTCAAATATCCACATCAAAGTTGTGAAATACGTAAAAACTTGTTAAGCACATATTCGTAAAGGTTATTTTGTCCTTGAAGCTGGATTTTTCTTTTTCCTTTTATTGCTTATTACTTGATCATACATACATTATAACTTCAATTTATTCAAGCTTGAAAGGCTCAATTAGGAGAGACAGGATGTGCCTTCGGGTCTCTTGGTCTTGAATGCCAAATCCATCTCCAAATTGGTAGATGCAATTCGCCATGCGTGCAAGATTAATGGTTACTTTGACAAAGGATTGCAGCGAAGGGGACTGAGTTCTAAAGCATTGGCCATTTATTTTCTTCCTTGTGTTGGTTATCGTGTCCTTAATATGCTCCTGAGCTTTTTCTTCTGAAACATTCACCTCTCGCATGTAGCACAGGATTGATGATGGAGCATCACCTCTCTCTTTCTCTGCCTGTTGGAAGTCATTTAATATTTTTTTTTAGCAATAATAATAATAATAAGAAGAAGAAACTTGACTGACTTAAAAATCAAGTCAGGAGAAAGAATAGGCAATTACTTACCACTGAAGTTGCCAAGTCGTTGCAGAGTCGGGTTATAATGGATATATTGCAAACAAGATCTTGATTTTTGCCCAGGAAATCGACCATGTCCTCTGCCACATCATCCCCCACAGAAAGCATAGAATGGACAGAAATCACAATGCCTCCCGATGAAATCAATGCATTGCTTAGATACTCCTGAAGGGAGGGTGTATATCCTTCATTGTACCACTTCGCTTCCACAAATTGTGCTTTACAAAATCCTGACCACTGAAGACAAGATCTAATGTAAAATCCAAAACATGAAACAGAACAAATAAATGGAAGCATTAATTATAAATAGTACCGCTTTCCTCAGATGAAGTAATGCCTGGACATTCCAACCATTGAGCTCTTGGATGTCATCTGCAATTTCATCGGTACTATCATATAGAGCTTGGAAGCATATCTTCATGCACTCTGGCAGCTGCTGAATTTTGCTTGAATCCCACCTGAATTTAAGACAATGTGCATTAGAGATGATTTACAACTGTGGCCTAAATGTCTACCGCATGTTGTACATAGGTAATTATATTGTACTTTACCTATCAACAGCGTCGGTGAATTGCTCTAGCTCTTCTAGGGAACCATAAATATCATAAACATCATCTAATACTAATATCATAGTGGTGATCTTAGTGAGACATTTTCTGAAACAACTATATTTAGGCTCATAAGCCAGTCCAACTGCGCATAAGAAACTTTCAGCCAGTCGATCTCTTGTGAAGTTTAAATGTTCCATTAGCCCCAGATTCCTCCACCACCTGAATATATATGACAGAGAAGAAACAAAATGTTTGATAGGTTAATTTAACTCTAAAAATTGTCAAGGATATTTTTTATTGGTTATTTCTTTGGTTGTCACCTGGAAATTTCGCTTAGATCTTTGTGAAGCGTAGCTTGGACTGTATTAAAGTTAAGTTTAGCCAGTTCAAGCAAAATTTTGTCTATGTTTTTATTGTTCTCGTACAGGGTGATGTGCCATTTGACATCAAACCACTGTACCCTCCAGTGCGTCGAAAGCTCCAAGGCATGGGCCACTTGCTTAGCTAGGTATGTATCCAGAGTAGAATAAACACTCCTAAGAGTTTCTGTAGAGAAAGCTTTAGCCTCATCCAAAATGTTTTCTCCTTCGAAACCTAGATACGAGGCCTCAAAAAGTTCAAGCAGTCCTTTGATTTCTGTGCATTTACTTACTGAGAATACGCCCATCTCATCCGAGAAGGCCTTGAACACATCTGAGTAATTCATGACAACAAGTTTGATCAGAGAATTAGATCATGGAAAATAGGATTTCGAAGCATGAAAAAAAAAAAATACATGGAGATAATAATTAGATTCATGCCTGGTGAAATCTCGTAGCCATAGAGCCTCAGGAGCCTGAAGCGTAACGCAGTTACGTAGAGGTCTTCTTCTGCTTCTTCGCCATTTTTCCTGTTCTTGGAAGATGCTACAGCTTGTAAAGCTTTCTGCGTTTCCTCAGCAAAGAGGTCCCCCAAACCTAGTTTTCTGATCATGTCAATCAGCTCCAGTTTAGCTAATTCTTCCACTGCTTCAACAAACATGCCCTTCACATTCTCTCTCAGCTTCTCGGCCCTTCTCTTGTATTCCTCCCCCTGCAAAAGAACATGATTAATTTCAAATTTTCAATTATTTCATGGCGCCTAAATTGGTTTAGGCTTCTGATCATGTAAAATATGTTGGCTTTTATAGTTGATTTTTATATTTCTTAATTTTCTACAGGGGAAAGGGGCTACATATTGACATTGACATGCAGGAAATGTTTTATATAAATTATATGGAGAAAGAGCGAGAAACTAGGATTTTAATCAAAATCTCACATCATATTTGCTACGAATAGATTGTAAGAAATCATATTTCCAAATGTTTGGCTTATAATTTGCAGATCGCCTTTGTTGTATCACTTCAATGGCTTCTGACTTCAATTGATAACTTGGAAATTTTTGCTGATCTGCTTGCAGTTGGTTATTGTAATCCATGGTGATTACAATTGTAAGCTGGGATAAATGGTAAGGGATTTAGGTTGATATATAGAGCAATGCTAAAATTGAACTACTATTGCAGAACATAAATGCCTTCGGCAGTGTTTATGCCATATTTATAGGCAGCCAAGGCACTAGGAGTGTCAATGTCAGTGTCAGTTAATTTGAGTTTACCTCCTATTGCCACTTGGTAAAGAACGTGGAATCGGTTAACTATGTGATTTGTTGGCACTAGGCAGGACTTTTATTTTTAATGATAAAGTTCAAATTTTATGAGTTTTTAATTAGGAATGTAAAAAAATTGAACTTTTAATAAATCATTTACGAATATGTTTAATTTTTATTTATTTATATTTGACTATTAAATTTAATAAACAATCGTAAATAGTATTTTTATATTTATTTATTAAATGAATTAAATACAAATAGAGATCTAACAAAGGTCATTTGATTTGTTTATGTTCACAAATAAATTCATTTAAAAATCATTTAAAATTTATTTATTTAAGATGTGTTTATATTCATTAATATTCGTTTATATTCAATAAATCATTTATGAATATATTTAATTTTTATTTGTTTATATTTATCTATTAAGCTTAATAAACAATCATAAATAATATTTTTACATTCATTTATTAAACGATTCAAATACAAATAAATGTTCATTTGATTCATTTATATTTATGAACAAACTCATTTAAAAATCATTTAAAACTTGTTTATTTATGGTGTGTTTATATTCATTTATATTTTTTTATTTGTTTATTATTCAATAATGATAATAATAAAATTATATTTTTATCTTTTACCCTAATCATATTTTAATATTCATTTAGGATTAATTTATGTTCGTTTATGATCTATTTATTTAAATTTATTTGATTATAATTTATTTATTATTCATGAATATATTTATTTATACATATATATTTATAAATATATTCGTTTAATATTCATAAATAAATTTATTTAATCAAATCTAATATAAACTAAATGTAAATATTTTATTATTTAAATTAATCAAATTAAAATAAACAAAATAATTTTCTTATCAAATACAAACTAAATTCAAACGAACTTAAAAACAAAACAAACAAATTACGAAAATATATTAATTTATTTATATTTAATTCATTTCTTCCTCTGCTACTAATATGTAAAAAAAAAATTTGTGGAATATAAAATTAGTCTATGTCACATCATGTATCGATGATCGTTGGCTGGTAGAAAAACGCATGGAAGCAGCACACGGCATACCGGCTCCACATCTATAGTAAAATATCAAAGCATCTTCGGTCCAGGATTCGAATTATATCTACAATTTTGTCGTGCTGTAAGAGGTTTTCCCACATCACCATCCTAAATTAATGCCACCTCACGCTAATTGCTAACAATAATCCTTCTCCTAGAGGCGCCATTGATAGGTTGTAAATAGAATTTTATGTTTTAATGTTAACGAAGAGACATCATATAATCAAATAATAATATATAATATATATCCATTGATAATATATTTAATATAAATTTAATTGTCAAATAAATCATATACACTACATCTAACGTTGTAAATTCACAA